CAATTTCCTACTTCTAGTTTTCTTTTTTTTTATTAGAATGCTTGTCCTAGTGTTTGATAAATATTCAGGATGTTTTCTTGAAGCCACCTGCATAAGCTAAACTAAAGCCTTGAACCATAAAAATGAAGTCAGGCTTGTGGCCATTAGTCAATGTGCGTAAAAGAAATATGCCACAGGGGTTCTGGCTTGACATTTACAAGTATTTGTACCATCAAATGCAACCACCAGAGAAAATGTTGTGGGTTTTTTTGATGTATGTGTTTCAGACCAATTTAGACATCATTTCAGCAAGTGCAGTTCCACTGACAATGTGCTGCAGTATTTAAAAAAAAAGAGGGGGGAGGAGAAAAGTAGCAAAAACTAGAAACAGAACAAGAAAAAAATGATAGTGAATTAGTGTGGTTTTCAGATGTATATTCTTAATAAAATTTTACTGCTAAATATGAAAGACTTAATTTTTCCTAATAGATTTTGATGTACTACTGTAGCATGGTACAGCAACAAAATTAATGGATTTTAATATTGTAAGATTCGTGGCATGAATTAATGACATCTGAAAGTAATCGTTGTTGGAGAATACTTAAGGGTTTACTTTTTACGTATTCAGTGACAAATACATTTACTGAAGTAAAAAGAAACGGCATAAAACTAAGACCTTGTATATTTAAAAACAAAACAAACCAAATAAACCACCAAAACAATGACTAAACCCCAAAAACTTCAGTATATGGCTAGGTGAGATGCTTGTTGTCATGTGGAATAAAAATGTAAATATATCAAGGTGCCTATCCTGGTGTTTAAAGAGTTGTAGGCATTAATTTAGCAACATGACAAGTTTGACAAGTGCAAAGTGCTTTGAATGTCTTGCTGAATCAGGGCTCATATGTAAAGTGAATATGCTGTCAGTTTTCCTATTTTTCTGTAGTCTTGAACTTTTCAAATTGTTTTCTATTTGAAATAGTGAAACTCCACCAAACACAATTCAATGTCATCTCAAAGGATTATCTCATCATAAATAAGAGAGGACAGTCATTGTAATTTGTGTAGAAATGCAAATAAAACCTGTACAGACTCTCTTTACTACTTTTTATAATTATTAATGTAGGGGTGTGAAATTAAAACAGATTATGGACCTTTACTGCACACGCTGGCTGAGTTTGGATGGCTCCTGACCTGTGTCCTGCCTACACCTATTGTACGACACGACAGGTACCCAAACAATAAATTACAGCTTTTTTTGGTGTGTAAATCTCTGAGAATTATCTAGTGATTACTGGTGTACTTAAATGTAAAAGGAAGAAAAAATGCTAATAATATTAACTGCATATAAAACTTGATGTAAGTAGCATTATGGTGGAATGTTTTTTTTTACCACACTCTTAGGCTGCTGACTTCAGTGAGTTTCAAACTAGACCAATAATCCTAAACTTAAAATATATTGTTTAGAGCTAAACATTAAAGATTTTATTTAGGAAACTGTTTCTTATCACATACCTGGTCCTCAGCAATCGGGCAGTAATGGGGTTACTCATATGCTTCAAGTTTAAACAAATGTTGAAATGTTTCGCTAATTTAGGACCTTGGTTGAGACTATGTAAGAAGTCATGCTGTCACAAGACAGTCATGCAGTGTTTATTGCAAATTAGGGAGGAGAATGTGCTAATCCAGCAAGTTATTAGGCTGTTTCTCTTCAATGTAGACGTTATGTTTCACCTCAACTATAGTACCAAACTACTGAATTTCAGTTCTCTTACTCTGATATTTATTTAGATGACTGAAGGGGATCTATATATCTAGGACGAGCTAAATAGTAGACCTGGATCCCCTATACAGTTCCAGATTTTCTTCTTTTTTTTTAACCAAAAAAGTACTGTCATTTTCTTCATGGCGTTAAGCTAAAAGAGGCAAATGAAACAATGGATTAAGTATACACCTGCTCTTCTTTTTTTCCAAATTCTCCTCTCATTAGATTAAGATTGCCAAGGTTTGAAAACAAACAAATGTACCGAGACGTGGCTTAGGGCTCATTAAGGACAATGGAAAGAGAAACAGTAATCTTTGGAACCAGACCTCACTATATTAAATCAAGACAGCATGAAAAGTTCTAAGAGAACCATTCCAGGAAAGTGGAATTTTAGTCAAATGATTTGACATAATTAAATCCACTCACCCATATGAGAAGGAGTTTTTTCTGTCCAGGACATAGGTGTTGGGGTGTTTTTTAGCTGTGGGGTTTTTTTTTAAGTTTTTTAATTGACAGGTTAAATGGAAAAACAGAAGAAATTATGGCAAAACTATGTAATATCTTCCACTGTTTTGTTTAGGGATCTCTATATGTTTTGTTTTCTTCTGAACTGAACTTGTAAGGCTACCAGCCCATAGAAGAAGCAGTTTTCAGAATATGAAACAAAAAGGTTATCCTTCATTTCTTCAAACAAAATACTGTTGTCTAAACGCATTAGCTTTGAACATGGCAACTTGTAAGGGTATGTGAACCACTGAGCCTGGTTTTCATAAACAGCTGAAATTTTTGGCCAAATCTTAGAGCTTGAGAGTAATCCTTCAGGATCCAGACCTAATTCTTGAAGGACATGAGTGGACAATGGGAGAGAAAGATTTTAGTAGGCATGGTGTGCTGTGGGTCATACGATGAGAGAGAGGTTTTAACCTCAAACTTCTTCTGTCCCATGAGCAGTGTAACTGTGCCTGTTACAAACCATCCCTGTAGGGTTTGGACAGTAGGGACAAAATTGTCCTGAGCAGCTGCTGGTCAAATGCTCTGTGAGTATCAGTCTCTGCTTGCAGGGGGCAAAATAATGCTCTTTTGTATCCTGTAGATTGCAGAGCAAAGGCAGGGCCACTTAAAGGAAGCTAAGTGCTATAAGGAGAAGAAAAAAAAAAAAATAGGAAAAAGTGCTGGAAGAAGTGTTAACAGATTCATTAGACTGGACCTGCTCCTTGAATTAGTAAGAAAGTAATATACCACCAAGATATTTAAGTTGTGTTAGATGTCTGAAGTAATGTTGCTTCTCATGTGAAACGACTAGTCCATTAATCATGCAAAAGGGGTTGTACCCTGGCGAAATCTGAAGTTGGCTTAATTTTTTTATCAATGCTAGAATAATGCAAACTAATGAAAAGCATTTGTTTTCTGGCCTAAATAGTTGGGTGGGTGTCTGCATGAATTGTCTAATACTTGTTGTCCTAGTGAAGCTTGTTGAGATACTTTTGGAAGAAATAGGATAAACCACATTTTGTGTGCATGTAGTGTATCTAATACACAGCTATTCAATTTTCCTTAAAAAAAAGGGGTGGGGGGGGAAATCCCACGAACAACAATTCCTAATTAGGAATCAAGAATTCTTAAGGGTCCAAAAAAGAATGTTTTTCGATACTGATAGGCTAAGTAGTGATTGATAAATACTATTTTTAGGCATTGATGTTGATATTTAAAGAGGAGAAGAAATTCCTGGATTGTTACTATGTGTCCGGTATGAAAGATGCCATTACTGTGGTGGTGGATTATCCTAGGAATGCAAGTTAAATGTCTCAATAAAGAAGGACACTTTATGCTGCTGAACAGCTGGGCTTTTCCCAGGCTTGGAACTCTGACCTCAGAACCCAGCCTGAATATTAACTGGCTTCAGAAACACTGTAAAAAACAAATGAGCAACATTTTGGGATGATCTGGAAAATTCATGTCTCTGTATTTTATTTTTTTAAAAGTAGTTTGTACAAAGTTTATAATAAAGAAAATTCTATTTAAGAATAAAATGTTAGCAGGGCAGCCTGCTCCCCATTTTTAGTCACTGTAATATTTTTGCTCTATTCTTGATCTTCCTCTTATCGGAATTTATAGCAAAACTTTCCTTCATCTTGCATTTCTGATCTGTTCCTGGCCATTATGCCCACTGCTTGTCTGCAGATGAAGAGTGTGATCAACAGGCTCTGAGGTGTGATGGGATTGTCATGCACTGATGTGTTCCTTTTTTGGTTTTGACAGGGTAGGGTTTGAAACAGTTTAAAAAAACACCAGGCTGTCATGCCTGTTCCTCTGTGGTTTTGTTGCTGTTGCAAGTTTTTCTTTTTTATAGGTGTTCCTCTCCATAAAATAAATGTCCTGTTGCATGCTGTGCCACATGATAGCTGAATGTATTGGATCACTGCTCCTTCCAGGCAGGGGCAGCACTCTGTACACTTATTTAGTCCTTTAACTCCTACCATAAGGGCTAAGTAATGTTGGATGCAGGAAGCATTTGTTTGAGAAATGTTATCTTTGCTGTTACAAGTAGAGGGATGGTAGCTGTCATATTCTTGAAACATGCGGAGTTGCTTTTTTTGTGTAATGTTGTTGGAAAAATAAGCACTATGGGCTTTTGGGGTTTTTTTTGGTCAGCACACTGTAAAACCCACAGAAAGTCCCATCGCCTGTCAGTCATTCTCTTTGTCTCAGGGATATGAGAAAACAGAGCAGGAAGAATCAAGTGCATATGATACAATGGTAGTTGTATCCATCCATATTTTGGGTATTTAAATTTTGTCAGCAGTCAAAGAATTTTTTGATCAAAAAAGCAGACCAAAAAAAGAATATAAAACAGACCTATAATAATATTAGTGAACTAAAGAGCCTCCTGCATTATATACAACTCTTACTTATAGGTAAATACCTTTAGGACAAGAATTTGACAGTAATTATGCCAAGTTCAGAAGCTATACAGGAAGAATAAAATTTATAGTCTTTTTTAGGACTTAAATTGGGGGGGGGAGGATCATTAGAAGATACTTTACTGGTAACTTAGTGATACTGTAGTTACTAATATGGTATTATCATGACTTTGTAGAATTTCACACATGTTGGAAATAGTTCTAATTTTAGACTACAAAGGTTTTTAAATGTTTCATTAAATAGATTCTTTAAGCCAGCAGACTTATATCCCAAGCTGGTGACTCTCTTGTAACTGAAAGTCTAGATGCAGTACAATTCTACAGGAGTGCAAACCTTCATTTTGAGAAAAGCAAAAAGAACTGAATGAGTAAAAAAATTTTATGACCTTGCTCCTTTTGTTCATTTTTCAGGAAACTTTGTCTAACTTTAAGTGCTTTGTGTAGAAAATGTCCATGCATAAATAAAATAGACCTGTAAAAATCAGAGCCATTGGCAGCAGTAGTTAGCTTCTAGCTTGATGATTGTTTTGAGGGACTTTTTAAATACATACATATAATAAGAGGACAAATTTATTCCCCATACAGCATAAACAGACAAGCAAATTGCTGGTGTTTTAACAAAAGAGTCTCTGTTGCTCTCATCCCTCTTGAAAGAAGAGACAGAAAAAAGGCTTCAGCAGCCTTACTCTGTCTGCAGTGACCTTTATTTCCCCTCACTGATTACTGTAGTCCCTGAAAGTGGGCAACACAGGCTGTCTATGAGCACCAGAAAGCAGGCAGGCAAATACAGTGCAAAAACACCGACTTTGTGGTTATTAATTTATCATGACAAACTACTTAATCTGAGTTTTAAAAATGCCCTGACTTATGAGGCAAAGAGGGGGCATGGAAATGTGAGAGAAGCTATGGAGTGGCTTGCTCTAAGCACTTTTTCTCATTTAAATTCTGTGGAAATTCCACTGTCATTGAGTTTTTTGTGAATTAAGCTCATAGCTGCTTTGTCGTGTGCAGCATTTTAATAAGGTCAGACTTAGAAAATTGCTAATTTACTTATTGTCTACTCACCATCGTGTCCTTTCTCTTTCTAGTAGAATTTGTACAAGCTGTAGCTTAATGTTTGGGGTTTGTTTTTTTCTCTGAAGGAATGCAGACACTGTTACAAAATAAGATGTAGGCTCTTCTCCATGCCAGGGACTGTGCTCGGCCCTCTCTTCTAGAAGAGAGATTTTTCCAACTGATAATATCAAAACAGACATAACTGAGGCAGGGAGAGATGCCTAGCCAAGTGGAATAAGGTTGCTGGATTGCTGTTTTCCTTGTCATGACATAAAATTGTAACACTTTCTTTTAATGAAAATAGGTAGGTAGGGACTCTCAGGAAACCTTGTTGGAAGGAAACTGAGTTCATTCTCCTGCCTGCTTGTTTTCCCCACAAGCTGGAGCTGAAGATGGTTCTCTGTCCTCATCCAAGGAAGATGTGCAAAGATGTGCCATGACCTAAGTTCAGATGGACTGAAAGGAAGATTGTGAGGGGCCAAACACTGTCACAAAACCACTGACTACTGATTAGATGTAGCTCAGTACACTGGGGATAGTGTCTTTAGTGTTCTTCCTCAGAGCTTACTTTCAGAAGCTGTACTGGGGCAGGCTGTTAACAAGCTCTTCCTGATCTCATAGGAACTATTTTAATCCCTGATTTTTCTTGGAGCAAGTCCCTCATGTTAAATGAACTCTATCAGTCCTAGCCCTGGTGTGAAACATGAACCAGTTATCTGAAGATAAGATTGTGACATACCCATACTGAAGTACAAGCTTACGTTATTTTAGTGTTTTTTTCCATAATGTTATGTCTAATAATACTGTTTTATGATTGATAAAATAGGTAGAAGGATAGACACTACAAATTAACTCACTTATGTCTGTCTTGTGTTTCTATTTTGCCACTTTTCTTTAGTACACTCTTACATCTGTAGTCACTCTTCTGCCAAAGTGTTTCGGTGTCTTTTCTTTGTATGCATAAAAATCTCATTGAATAGCGCCCAGAAGTAGGAGTTTGGGGTAGAAGAAGAGTTTATCAAAATGTAGTATCTGATATTTAGAAGAGCACGGGAATTTTGAAAACCTTCCAATCCTAGAGATCTAGTCTCAAAATTCTTGCACTTCTTCAGTGCCACAGAGTTGTGCTTTGTAATACACAAGCAATCAAATGTGCTGACCTGTATTTCTGATGGAAAGGTAATGAAAATAAGTACATTCTCTTGAAGTTTTTATGTACCACAGTACTATAAGTGTGTAACACTTTTGAAACATCATATCCGTAACATCTGATCTGGTTTTGAGGGACAACTTTACCTTTTCACATTTATTTTTCTAAAAGTGTTTCCTTTCGAAAAAAAATCAACAGTGCTGCTTTGAATTGTATCTACCACAACAGTATCAACATTTGTAAAAGTTTCAGGACTAAAAACTGAAGTTCCTCTTTTTTCTATTTTATTTATCTTACTACTATGTTCTCTTGTCCTTCCTATGCATGTACCTCCCATGTACAAAACAGCCAGTGTCACTTAATCTCATTGTACGTGTAGAGCTTATAAAAACTGAACTGACTGCTTTTATTCGTAGGTGGTGAGACAGCAAGCTTTTCCTGCTGTGTCAGATGTTATATTACAGGAAAAAGGAAGACACCTTTTAGTTAGCAGTAAATAGTGTTACTTCCCAAGTTTCATACCACAGAGTGTTGAGATATTTGTTGAAGCTGTGGATATATTGAGATTGGGCCTATTTGTTTTGGCGTTAATAGGTGGGAATACGTTACTGTGGTGACAACGAAGATTAGATGAAAGAAATACTCTTTGAGGTTTACTTCAGGCATAAAGGTGCAGACTTTGATTAAAAGTAGAAGCTCTGGTACTTAAACTTTCAAGACCAGACATGTTTAGTAACTCTAATCATAGTAATACAAATTTTTATTGTATACCTGTTTTCATGTGCGACACCCCAAACCAGCTCTAGGCTTCTATTTTTTTTCAAAGTGTCATTACAGAAATGTTTAGGAATTAATAAACTAGTTAATGCTTGGTAGTCTGTCCTCTTCTTAGTCATGGACTTACATATAGATACGACTTAGAGTTCACTCTGAAAGGTATGAACATGTTACAGTGACTATTATTGCCTTTAAAATATTGAAAAGGTTTTCTTTAAATTTTAGTGAAGGGAATCTGGCCACAAAGCAAGTTGTTTTTCTTCAGAGACCCGTTTTGTGGAATTCTGCTGTCCAGACACCAGAGGTGAGTAACATGCTTATGGTATTAATATAAACAAATTAATATTTCACATAATGGCTAGGTACAGAAACAAATTAAACTTTAAAATAAACTTTAAAATTAATGGGGGGGAAAAGTGACAGAAGAGGGTCTCACTTGAGACAAGTTCAAGTTTGTGGAGGCTTTTGCAGCTGAACTCGTATGTTGTTTTTTTTTTTTCTTAGCCGTATACCTCTTAAATTAAACCATAGAGAAAAGTATAAGCATGCTAAAACCCTGTTTTGTGCTAGGAAATTGTTTTGTCTCAGGTGGATGAGGTTGGCTATGCTGTAAGTATTCCTTTAGAAGTCTTCAGGAAGTCTTAAATGTTCTGATTCAAATCCTGGATCTGTTGCACATGAAAAAGAAAAGATTTTATTTCAACCTCCAAAATATCTACTTTCCTACTTGTAGAAGAATACAAGTGTCAAGCTGTGCTAAGGGATACTGTAATCTGGAGGTTAAGAGGGGTGAAGGGGTGTTAGCTGTTGCTGCATGAAAATGTGTGACAGAAATAGAGGATTTAAAATTCCTGCAGCTGGAGTTGTCCCTTTTGAGTGAGGCTCCCACGATAGTGGTTGTATAAAAGTGCTTTGAGGATTAAGGAACTGGCAGTTGCTGCATTCTGCTCAGAGTCAAGGTCACAATTATTGCACTGGTATAGGGCTATAGTAAATCCTGTGGCCAGAGAAGGGTGAGCTGGTGTCCTTTTCTCTCCCAAGTCTTTCAATATCCTGTAATGCATTTTTAGCTTTTATTTCTGTTGTTCAATGGCCATTCAACCTCTTTCTAATTAACATGGATTTCCTGTGATAGTTTTAAGCAGCTATGAAAACTATGGATGTTTTCACTCACGTCCAGAGAAGTAACTTTACGAACTCTGTCATTCATGGTAGTATATACTACTATAAGGCAGTAACACCTTGTCTCTTATTTTTCCATCTGTATAAATAGTTCCATGAGTCTCTAAACTACTTGCATTCATATTTGATCTTTCTCTGTCCTTTTTACCTTCTATCCAGACTGTTACCATCACCTGTATTTTCTTCTGCTTAGTGTTTCTAAAACATATTCTCCCTTTTTTTGTCCTTCTCCAGGCTTTTGCTTATCTCCAGCCTAACTTCCTTCTCACTGTGTGCCCTGATAATTACTACTTCCATGCCTGGAAGAACTGCATTCAATATGGACAATTGACATCTGTATTATTTTTCATCTCTACTGCAATCTCAATTCCCAGCTAGTTCTTGTACACTATCCATAATTTATTTCCTCATTTACAAAATTTTAGCTCCTTGTTTTTTCTCTTCAGTGTTTTGTGTAGTCTCGCTTGCTAATGTCTTAAGCTCCTCTTCCGTTCATAGTGTCTAAATACTGCCGGTTCCTCATACATTTTTTTTCCTTCAGTTTCCCCCTGTGTACCATGCATCTTCAGCTTTTAGCTTTCAAAGCTTCTGACCCCTGCTGTCATTCATGACTTTGTAATCTTTACATTCTTCCCTAATACATTTCTCAAAGTATGTTTTGGAACATCCTTTTTATATCAATTGTAAACATACAAAACCATACTGTTATGTCAGTTGTTATCAAATAGTCACACTTTTCCTGTTGTTTTCCCACTTTTTTTAATACTCTGTATAACAAGGGCATGGACTCCTAAAAGGAACGCTCTTTCCTTGGTAAGGCACATTATTTCTAGCTATATAATCATCCCTTAAAAGGCAGCATAACTGCATGACACAAGTTAGAAGGGATAAGACTGGATTCTGCCAAGAGGTAGAATACAAAGCAGTTCTGTAAAAGCATGCAGTCTGAGGAACTGATGAATCTTTGAGACGTGGTTTAAATTAAAAGTAAGAAGCATTATGCTCAGTTTAAATTGTTACCCGATGGTGAGGTGAATGACCTTTACTTCTTTGTTTTAGACAACAAGAATAGTAGTGTGTTTTGTAGTCATTGTTCTACCTTATTGTAGTGGGAAACCTTTGACTTGAGCACTAACATGCTGGAAGTAAACAAGAAATAGCTCATTTGTACCCGTTTACATCAGGGTTACTGTGTTTAAAATCTGAGCACACTTACTATCTAAACGTGCTCCTTAAGTACCAGTAAACGTTTTACTTCACCACCAGGAAATTTCAGTATGCTGAGGTCATTTTAGCATGGAATAAATAGGTAGTTCAGGTTGAAGCTGAAATGTTTAGCAGAGTAATATTTTTCCTTCTGTCTTTCCAATTATGTTGTTTTTCCCCTAAATTTTAATCTTTTTACTTCATTGCATTTTTTTACAAAAATGTCTGAATTGGCAAGCAGCATATTACCTTTATGACAATTTAAATTCACAGATTTGGTAGCAGTACCTAACTGGTACAGAATGTCCTGTGAGCTTTGCATTGAGTAGCTAGATCTCGGGTGCAAAGCAAGCTACTGACATTTTAACTTGTGCTCTAGAAATTTTAATAAATACATGTATCTAAAATGTCCCCTGGACATTGACAACAGAGCTGTACAATTTTATCAAACCCTTGCAAACTTTATGGTAAAAACATTTAATTACGGTGATTCTGTATTGTTGGGCATGACATCTTCATTTTTGTTTGTACTGTATCTGTTTTCATTGATGTTCAAATTACATTAAAGCTGTTCCAAAAATTTTCATGTCTGCAACTTAGGACATTTTTGAAACACAAAAATACTTAAAATATCTAAAGTCTTTTAAGTTAAAAAAAATGCATCACACTATGTCTGTTTAAGCATAACCTTAGCACTTGGCTACCTGGAAGAATGGTACGTATGAGAGAGTCAAAATAGGAAATCAACAAGGCTCTTTCATTAACCGAATCTTAATAAGAAAGCAGCCTCATACAGACCTTCTCAAACACTTCACTATCAAGCCCTCAGAGCCCAGTCAGATCCCTTTCCAACTTTCCACAGCGCAGCGGCGTCTGGCCGTGGCAGGAGCTTTGCCTCGCAGGCAAGTCCGGCTGTTGCACCTCTGTGACTTGCGTTCTGGAGAATGGCAACACAGGGTATGGGTTGCTTTCTGTACTTGGGATTCTTCTTTTTTTAATTGTCGGGTTGAAGTTAGCATTGCCATTTCTAAAGGAAGTTTTGCCTCAGTAAGAATTGAGGGGAAAAACCCCTATTACCTGGTCTTATTCCCACAGGGTCTCTTTTCTGAGGAGAATTTTATTCTGAGGTATATTTTATGTCCTCACAGCTCATCTCTCTGCCTTCTTGTTTATTCATGGGATAGTGCATTATGATTTGGCTTACGATTTACGTAGTGGTTCAAAGGCCTCTTGGATTAGAAGAGCTGTACTGTCTCAGTGGGCTCTTCGTTTATGAGATACCATTTGCTTTTCTAAGAAAATAGTTCATAGGCGGAGATCCAAGATTGAACCACACAGTGCTTGAGGGTTTTCTGTTGTTTTCCTTTATTTCCTTTAAGCAGACTTTTCCATCCTCTTACCATGGCATCCAAGCAAAGCTTATTTCCGTGTGTTTCTCCTGAGGTGACACTGTTTCCCCTTAGCCTGGTTTCCCAATGTCTCCTGTAACAGCTTCCCTAAAGGCATTTCCTTTAGCCACAAGGGCCTTTGTTTTTACTGTTTCAAAAGGGTTTGAGAAAAAACTTAGCGATGTATAGAAGTGGGGCACAGACCTTGCCAGGGCATGGCATAAACAATTGTGGGGTGGTTTTGTTTTTAAAGCTTAGTATTTGTGCAAATCCCCCTGCAGGAGGGCTGGTGTCCTTTACCCACTGACACGCAGCTCTGTGCTGAGGCTGGATTCCTTCTTACCTAGATGACCTCCTTCTGTGGGCAGGGCTGTGTCCCCTGGCAGAGCATCTCCTGGTTTAGTGGTGCTTGTGCTGAGAGCAAGGTTCCAGGCAGACAGCCAGGGCACTCCTGCCTTCCTGCCTGTGCTCTTCTGTTGTGGCTCCAGGTGCTGATATTGCCTCTGGATGTGCATCATCATCAAAGATCTGACTACCTCAGGTAGCTGCTGATGCTAAAATGAAATAAACTTTTTATTTATTTGTAATGCCTCAGAGGGACCTTTAGCACAATCCGATAGGTCTATTGATGGCATAAATCACAATCTGTGTATTTTTCTTTGGCAGCCACCATTTCAACTAGAATCATGTCAGGAGATCCCAGTACTAATGTCAGACTGTATTTATACTGAGTTCTTGCTGCACAAGGTCTCTCTAGACTCCCTCTCAAACGGCTGTACAGGACAGCCACTGACTTCTATCTGCATAGATCCACCATGTGGATTGAATGCAATTCTCAAGAAATTTGCTGTTATCGGAGGCGGCCTCTGAAGGTCTTTATGGGCAGAACTGGAAAGATAGGAAAGCATAGCAGTCTCACCATGAGATGGATCAGTGGGAAGTCTTCAGCCCTATGAAATGGTCAGATCATGATCTTAAAGAGTTCAATGTGAATAAAACTCCATTGACATCTTTATCAAAGATTGCACTCTTGTTGAAGCTTCTGGACAGAACTGTGGGGAAGTGATTAACATCCACTGACTTTCGGAACAGCTTGCAGGTGAGGGCACTAGCCAGACATTGTACATGGTGGCATGTAGATAATGCTAGTGAAGGAGGGTGAGTGTCTGCCTGCAGTGGTAGCTGGAGATGGGGGAGCTGTCAGCTACGTGCCTGCTGCTGCCCAGCCCTCCCACCCCTCCGGACAGGAGGGACCTCTGCAGCTGAGGGGAGGCTGGCAGCAGGAGCTGTGCCACCCTCAAGCATTCATCCCTGCAGAGCAGAAGAAAGCGCAAGCACCCACATGTGCCGTATGGCAGAAAGCGTCGGTCAGGGTACATTAGATGTGTACACTGGGCACAGAAATCATGCTTTCTTCAAACAGCTGATTTTAGCGTGGGTTAAGACTTGTAAATAATTTCAGATCTGCCAAGTACTATGTAAGAACTGAGCATTGTTGAAGTACTTTTTCTTTGCATTCATTTGTGATTACTTGAATCTCTGCTACATCTTGTGTCTTCTTTTTCTCTCTTGAAATTTATTTACAGAAACCAAAAATGTATCTGTCGGATTTTTTCTTCAGAAGAGTTCGTAGTTTAAACTGGAGTGTTAAATGCTGCCTTAATGTTAAAATGCAGCTCACATTAAATCCGTGCATGACTCATTGCAAAGTGTTTGGCTTCCTGCCTCCTCAAATAAGCTAACATTTAAACATTCTCTTGTATTTCAGAGGAAATCCTTAAGGCAAGTTATTGGGGAGGAAAAAGGCAAAGTCTCTAGCAGAAGTATCGGATTAGACACAGCTACTTCTTGCCCTGTAGAAATTGGACAACCACCTGATGAGTTTCACCTATCTCCTTCTAAACAATGTTGGATCAAGGAGGGATCTTCCCAGTATGGAGGCTTGCCAGGATTCAGTAGCAGTGATGGAGTATTAAGAGAACTGGATGACGGACAATTTGATCAGGAAGATGGAGTCACTCAGGTCACATGTATGTGATAAAGTAAGTAACAGCATCAGATGGACGTGTACATAATTCACAAAAATGTTTTAAAAAGGGGAAAAAAAAAATCATACTACTTTAAATGTATTGGTATAATCCTATGAGTTTTCCCAGACTCCTTTTGTATTTTTGTGTGTTTCTTTGTTGTGTTAATCCTACTGTAGTAATAATACTACTGCAAAATAATTTGGTTTTCTGTCTCTTTACTAGCATAACTACATGACAGCGTGCTCTGCTAACTTTTGACAAGCAAGGAAGCAAACACTGCAAAACAGTGACAGTTTGAATTGTGTAAGAGAAAGGAATGAGGATGTTTAGTATTTCCCACAAGCTGGAGGAGTGCTTTCTGTTTGGGTTTGTTTTTTGGTGGTGGGGTTGTTTTTTTTTTTTTTTGATAGTGCTGTAAATATTGGGGGGGAGGGGGGGAGGAGAAATGAACTGTCTAGCTGTTGTTCCTTTTAATGTAATTTTCACTTTACTTGCCTTGCATAAATTCAAAAGCCTGGAGACATGTCAGTCTTACACTAGAGTGTTAGTAATTTAAGCTATGTTCAGACTTGGTATGTACAGAAAACCTCTGGAGTCTGTGGGCAGACACTTGCTTCTGTAATATAGTTTCACCTATGCAAGTTTTACCAGGGTTCCTTGTACATCTAAGCCAAAAGCTATCTGAACATGTTACTTGTATACCGATGTACTCTTAACTTAATCATGAGTGGAAATCAAGAACACTCACCCTCTGGAAGATAACTTGCAGTTTATGAAAAAGTTTGAGCAGCTCGCCAAGAAGCACTGACAGAAAGGTGCACAGTGGTGCCGATAATACATAGAGTAGGCTAAACTTAATAGGTAATATTAGATGATAGACTGCATACAGATATGCTGATGTATATATAAAAAATTTCTTAGCTAAGGTAAAGTGTATTCAACTGCATCAAACATGGAAAGAATGTTCAGAGGCCAGGCTGAAGCTGCTGTACCTCCATCCTCACCATGGGGAGGAGCTGCCTGTGTTAAAGGGAGGCTAACACTGGCAGGGCTCTTGGGGGAGAGGAATTATTTTTATGCTGCTATCCTGAAATTACATTTTACAGAGAAGCTGAATAGTAACACATCTCCAGAGGTAAATGTGATTGTAACTAAAAATTGCATTTTTTGGTTAGTTTTAGAAGCAAAAACTATAAATGCTCGTCGCACTTACGCTAATGGAAAAAAATTTGGTCAAAATGAGAAATTGGAACAGAACTGAGCAAATGTATTCATAGTTCTTTTCTCTCCATGCTTGCAGTACAGCACACGCATCACCCAGGGGTTTTGATACCTGACTCTGTGTGTTATACTGCAAACATGGAGAGCCATGTTGTGAATACATTTAACTACACCACCCCACTTGCCTGGGGTGGTATCCCATCAGCTGCCATGGGAGTCTCCCTATCAGCAGTGGTAGGTGCTGGCACTTAAACACAGTGGGCAAATTAATGCAGTGACAGGATCTGCATTAATTACTCACTTCAAACAAGTACCCTGGGAGATGACCAGGATGGTGGAAGTCAGACTGTGATCTCTGTGGCGGGGAGCTGTGCAGAAAGAACGCTGGCAGAAGCTGCTTATTTCAATAAGCAAAAAGTAACTCATGAAAGAAGAAAGTTACACTTGCTATGATAAGCAAAAGTAGTACAAAACCTTAGTGTTATTTCAATTTATTTATACAAGGGGAGGAGGGGGAAAAAAAAAAAAACCAAACCCTTTCTACTTGCATGATTGTTATCATGGGAGCTTGAAAAGATTATTGCATTGGAGCTGCTTTCCAGTTTCATTATGAAATTGTTGTAGGTAGGCTTGTTTATTTTTCACTTTGGAAGATCAACTCTAGTAATTCTGTTTAGCAGATGTGTCTTTCGTTCGGCTTGAGTTTTTCTTCCAAAAAATCCATGGCCCTGGAGCTGGAGACATTCCTTCGACTTCGTTTTCCTATTGCACATTACTGAAAAGGACAGCTTCTGTTTTCTCCCTTGAATTTTTTAAGAAAAATGCTGGCATCCTGGCAAAGCAGCTCTGGTTTGTGACTTTTAAGAGCCAAATACACACCAGTAGGGCAACAGGAGGACTGTGCATACAGCGGGGAGTGATGGGAGCACAGGAGTACCTGTGATAGTAGGCACAGTAAGAAATCCATTCTTGCCAAGGCTTCTGTCCCTGCTTTCCCACCAGCATCTCCAGGTCACAGATGTGGGGCATGAACCTCATGTTCGTTCCCTGCCTGGGGACACCATGTGGAGGAGGATCACCCTGCTAATGGGGAGAGCGCTGGGCTGGGTCTACCCAACTGCTGCTTTCTCATGCAGCCCACTTACTCTGAGCAGCAGTCATGATCATGCAGTAGCAGGGATCTCCTCCATGGTACATAGATGTGGGGAAAAAATTATGAAAATTCATGTTACATCTGTCTCTAGCTGAAAGCCAAGTAACTTTAGTATGTTAAAAATAGGGTAACAGCTGGTCTTGTGCAACTTGGAATATGTTGCTCTACTTCTAGAAGCATTTTTCACAAGTCATTTAAAACTTGTGTGTGTAACGTTTACTGGTGGCTCTCTATACAAGTCAAACTTGTAAAAGCAGAAAAAAATTGGTCAAAGAAACGTAGGAATTCTGTATGTTCCAAGTTAAAGCTTTTACTGATCTTTTATAAAGCAGTATCCCTATTTAGCATGGTTAACAGTAGTGAATCCTAAACCCAAACTGAACTACAACTACTTATGTAACAAGTTACAATGTATAAAGTACTAAATGAATCCAGTTAATCTTTCTAGGATAGGTTTACTGGATAAGAAGAATCATTTAACTTTTAACTAAAATTTCTTCATATCAGCTGTTGAGAATGCAGAAAATTTAAATAAATTAGTATGTTTTTAAAATAATTTTTCCCTTATGACTAATGGGGTATACACAAGGGAGATTCCTTTTTGGAACAAGGGTAGAAATTGAGTATGCGCTGGATGTCCACAGGTACACTCTAGAACATCCCTGCTTTTAGCAAGAAAGGCTTTTCTTAAAATGAAATAAAGCTATATTCTTTTTCAGTAGCCCCCAGTTTTAACTGTGCTTTAGTCCTTGCTCTTGAATCTCACAGGTGTTGACTGCTGCAAACCTGAGTGAATCTTTCTAGTCTTTTTAATTCAGTGTAATTATGCTAAATTGCTTCCTCTGAACCCACTCAGCATTTCCTATATAGTTAAGGACAGGTGTTGTTGTTTTATTGCCATTTGTCTCACAATATGTAAAGTTGCCCCTGCTGTAGAAACATTAATCTACATTGTTTTCCTAGCTCTCTACTGGCTTTCACCTCACAGGGCTACATTTAATGGCTCTGTATTGGAAAAAAATAAAATACAATTCTTCACCTGGGAAAAAAGTCAACCTGACAGGAGACAAGCTCGAGAACTATAAAGTGAGTGGCATGGAGAGCGTAGCAACAGAATAAACTCTTCAGCATTCTTTTTTTTGATACAAGAACTCAATGGAGTCATGGAAGTGGTAAGTAACAGGCTTGAAAAAAATCGAGGTATCTGTTCAGCTAACTGCAGAACTCCTTGCTGCAGGATGCTGTGTCTAAAACTACATGGATTTAAAAGGTGACTGAAAAATTCCTGAAAGGTGCGGGGGGCGGATCTCCATATTCTCTCTGAAATTCATGGAACTAGAAACTGTTGTGAGACTCTGAAAGCTGGTCGGTCTGACTGCATGCTCAGCCTATTCTTTAGGTTATTGTAAGCACCAGTGCTTCATTCCTCGTGGGCATGTAGCTGAGAGCCTTCTGCTGCAAGGCTTCCTTTCAAAAATTGGGGGGATTAAGTTGCTTGTTCAGCCTGTGTGAAGAGTGTGCAAGAATTATCTGACTTTGTGCACTAGTCAAAGAACACAGAATAAACCACCCATCTTCCTAGGGTGTGGATGCTGAAACAGAAATAACTGAAAATGCTTTTAAAACAAATGTTGGACAATCTTCTTTGTAGTGAAAAATTCTGAAAGCCAACTATATCTTCCTTGGATAAGTGACAAGAGGAGGGTGCATTTTGTGCATAGGGAATTCTAATTTAAGCTACTTGTTTCATCACCTACTCTTAAAGAAACTAGAGCATTAAGGTATGCTTTTATTAGTGTTGTGACCTGCACTGTCCATTAATGAAACTAATTTTGTAAATCAAAAGAGAGCTGTCAGAAAGAGTAACTGGCAAAATCTTTTTGTATGCTCCTATTTTTTTATATATATATATACACAAACTGTTCAGTCTTCATTTTACCGGAATGGTATTTTACATACTGATCTTTTTATTGAAAGAATTGCAAATCAAACTTAAAAGCACAGACACATTCTCTAACAAAAAAGTAAGTATGCTTGCTTATTCAGTAACAGGGCTTCAGTTAGGAGCCTCGTGTCTGAACTGCAGTAAAGTCCCTTACCTGTACATGAACAACAGAAATGCCCTGCAGCTATTAAAAAGAGCAGAGATAGAAGGCAACCAATGGTGTTTGTGAACCTCTGCAAAAGACTGTTTATACCTTGAGTCTTAAATTGTTTGGAGAGAAAATGATATTCTAGTGTTTACAAGCAGGGAGAAATTATTCACTGTAAAAAAAAAAAAATTTTTTTTTTTGCTCCTAATTTGTCAGAACAGTGTATTTACATACCTGCTCAACTGCAATAAACTGCTGCTTAATTTCTGTGTTTCTGGTCTGTAAAATACTTTTTTTTTTTTGTAAAGCTAAGATCTTTTTTGTATTTCTGATAGGAAGCTTCTCACCATTAAAAGCACCTACCAGATCAGCTGCAAGTTTGTTATGTTTGCCCCACACTGACAGTTGATCCACAGATACCTATACTTAAGCTAGAATTAGTTTTTTTGCAGTCCTGTCTGTATATCCATACAGCTCACAAGGCAAAGCTTGTTAGACCTACAGCCATCTACTAAAAGCTGATGACATTTTCCTTGTTCTTAGTATATGAAAGTAAAAAGTGCAGGTTGCTGTCTTGGCAATTCCCTATGGCTTAATTTAGAGAACAGTATTAAGCTAGGACTTCGACTTTTCAAAGCCAAATTCCTGTATTGGAATTTTGACAACTGGTATGAATTGAAGAAGTGAATGTTCCTGACTTCATATAAGTGTAACTTGAAAGAGACAAA